AAGCAGGAGCAGCAGCAGCAGCAGGGCCACGGCAAGCGGCAGCAGCAGGCGGAGTCGAAGGCAGAAGCTGCTGCAGCAAAGCTGAAGAACGAAGACGAAGCAGCAGCTAACGGCGCAGCAGCAGCAGCAGCAGCAGATAGCTCCAGCGAAGAAGAAGAAGAGCAGCCGAAAGCTCAAGTAAGCAAAAAGGGCAAAAAGCTGCTGGGGCCCTCAAAAGCAGCAGCAGAAGCACCCCACAGCCACGGCCGCATGCAGCAGCAGCAGCAGCAGCAGCAGCTACTGTCAATGGACAGCTCAGAGGACTCGAGCGAAGACGTCGATAACTAAAAAGCAGCAGAGAAGTGCAGCAGCAGCAGCAGCAACTGCTGCTGCTGCTGCTGCTGTGGGAGGTGCCACTAAGCGCAGACTTGCTAGTGAGCGCTGCTGGTGCTGCTGCAGCCTTGTGTGTTGCTGCTGCTGTTGCTGCCAAACCCAGCGTACTGGAGGAATTGTATAAACAAAACGTACAGCAGCAGCAGCAGCAGCAGCAGATATTTTGATTTCTTTTGAGGCAGCACATTGCCCACTGCATGTTTGTTGTTAGGGGTGTCTGGCTGCTGCTTTTAAGTGAGCAGCAGCAACAGCAGCAGCAGCGCAGCTTGTGCTGCTGCTGCTGCTGGTCATTTAAAAGCCCCGACTTTCCGCTGACCCCACAACTGGGCAGTTAAGTCTGCAGTGAATATTAGGACTCGCTGCTGCTGTTGCTGCTGCCTGCTGTTGCTGTCACTGGTGCTGCTACTGCTGCTGCTGCTGCTCCGCAGCAGCTGCTGCTGCCCTTCTCTAGACAAATAAGTGAGAAGACACCGCATTCCTGCTGCTGCGTTGTGTCAGTTTGCTGCTTGTCTTCGTTGCTGGTGGTGCGGACACAGAGTGCGGTAGCAGCAGCAGCAGCAGCAGCAACCGCAGCAGCACATTGGGAAAAGTGAAAGGCCTAGCAACACCAACAGTCTATAAAGCAGGCAGCAGCAACTGCTGCTGCAGCTAAACCGACAGCACTGAAATTCACAGCAGCAGCAGCAGCTGCTGCGGGCTATAGTCTCATTTTAAACCTCGTGCAGCAGCAGCAGGTGCTGCTGCTATAGCTTCTGCTGCTTCTGCAGCAGCACCTATGCCAGCTGCTGTTGCAGCTGCTGCTGCTTCTGCGGCAACATCTATGCGAGTTTCTGCTGCAGTTGTCGCTGCTTCAGCAGCGCCCACACCAGCTGTTGCTGCAGTTGCTGCTGCTGCTGCAGCAGCGTCGACGTCGGCTTCTGCTGCGGCAGCTGCTGCTGCTGTTGCTGCAGCAGCTAAGCCAGCAACTGCAGCAAAGCCGACGTCTGGTTCCCATTGACTGCAGCATTTTGTTGAATTTTTGGCAGCAGCGGAGTCAGCAAAGAGCGTACGGCGCTGCGGAAGTCAGGAAGGTCATCTAGCTGCAGCAGCAGCAGCAGCAGCAGCAGCAGCGAAGGCACAGTTGAAGCAGCAAATGCAAGGCAGCAGCAACCAGCAACGAGGACGCGCAACTTGGAAGCAGCAGCAACGATACGCAGCAGGAACAGCAGCAGCACCTCACAGCCAGCAGCAGCAGCAGCAGCAGCAGCACCTGCAGCAGCAGCAGCAGCACCAGCAGCAGCAGCAGGCCTACGTAGTCGACGATCGGCGCTGTGTCTGCTATGGCAAGGCGGGAGAAGTTGACGTCAAACTCGGCCCGCTGCTCAGTGCCGTCTCCCTGCAGCAGCAGCAGCAGCAGCAGCAGTAGCAGCAAACATGCAGCAGCGGCAGCAGCAAGAGAGTGATTGCGCCTAGGCTGTCCTGCTGCTGCAGCAAAAGCTGTCGGAGCTTCACTCAGCAAGACTCCACTGCGCAGAAGCGGCAACTGCTGCACCTGTAGCAGCAGCAGCAGCTGCTGCTGCTGCTGCAGTTGCTGCTGCTGCAGTTGCTGCTGCTGCAGTTGCTGCTGCTGCTGTTGCTGCTGCGGCTAACCTCTTCATCTGCGTCGAAGTAGGCCGCCCTGCGGTCCGTCCGTTCCTTCCCTGCAGCACAGCAGCAGCAGCAGCAGCAGCAGCAAAGGCAGGTGCTTATTCCTGCTGCAGCAGCACCCGCAAAAGACTAAGCAGCTGTTTCAACCGAACCAGCAGCAGCAGCAGCAGCAGCAGCAGCAACGAACCTGCTGCGTCGAAGTCGTGTCCCTTGATGAGCATTTCGAGAGTGTCGAAGATGTCGTTCAGCAGCTCCTGGTCTGCTGCTGCTGGCGTTGCTGCTGCTGCTGCAGCGGCAGGAGCAGCAGCAGCGCCAGCAGCGTCCTGCGCTCCCGCTGCTGCAGGGCCAGCAGCAGCAGCAGCAGCAGCAAGCCTCGCCAACCCCATCAAAAAGACTCGCCGCTTGTATATTGAACAACCTGCAATCATGCTGCTGCTGATTGAAGGAATTATAACAGCAGCAACAAACTGCTGCAGCAGCCCCTGCTGCAGCTGCTCCAGCCCGTTCGGCAGCGCCGTCAAGTCGGGGCACCGACACTGCAGCAGCAGCAGCAGCAGCAGCAGCAGAATATGTGTTGATTGGATGGTCCAAAATTAATCTAATGATTAATTAACTGGTCGATTAATAAACTAATTGATTTAATTAGTTAATTGGTTAATTAGCAGTAAGCAGCTACATTTATTTGCTGCTGCTGCTGCTCTGCATGCATGCGTTTGCTGCACCTGGAAGAGCAGCAGCGAATGAGTTAGTGCTGCGTTGAATTGCTGCTGCTGCAGCTGATGGGCTTTCTTCAGCAGCACCGTCAGCAGCGTGGGCAGCAGCTGTCTGTACGCCTCGAAGTCCATGAACCTGCAGCAGCAGCAGCAGCAGCAAGAGATGCAGTCAGCCGTCGCAAAGAATGGCAGCTGCAGCAGAAGTTACTGCTGCTGCTGCTACGTGGTACTACTCTGCCTATGTGCTGCAGCAGCTGAACCACCAACTTCGCCCTGCCGCTGCTGCTGCAGCAGCTGCTGCTGCTACTTCTGCTGCTGCTGCTGCTGCTGTTTCTGCTGCTGCACCTGAAGATGGCGTTAAGAAGGTCGAAGCCAGTAGCAGCGAGCCTCCTGTGGTAGAGGCAGTACTGGGTCCTCTCGAGCAGCGCAGCGACTCGCTGCTGCAGCAGCTGCTGCAGCTGCTGCTGCTGCTGCTGCTGCTGCTGCCGCAGGAATAAAGTCACCAGCCGCACCAAAGCAGGAACATTCCCTTGAGAAGCACCCCACAGCTGCGGCTGCAGCAGGTGCTCCAGCAGCTGTACGTACAGCCCGTTGCTGCTCAAAGTCCCCACACGAGAAGCGCCTTCCAGCAGCACCCCCAGTATCTGCAGCAGCAGCAGCAGCAGCAGCAGTGGGGAAAGGGCAGCGTGGGGCGGCAGGGGCCCCGCAGCAGCAACTGGGAAGCAGCAGACGGCGCAGTGTCTATAGAAATAATACCAGCAACAGCAACAACAACGACAGGAAGAGAAGCAGCAGCAGCAGCAGCAGCAGCAGCAGCGACAGCAGCAGAAGCAGCAGTAACAGCAGCAGCATCGGATTACCTGGAAGCAGTAGGGTGTGAATTCGTGCTGCCCCTGCTGGATTAAAACAGACAGCACCGGGACCACTTGGCTCTCTACTTGCTGCTGCTGCTGCTGCTGCTGGTCTGCTGCTGCTGCAGCAGCAGCAGCACGCGGCTGGGATGCGAGCCTGCAAATAGCTGCAAGGGCCTCGAAGAGATAGTGGCAGTAGATGGGGTTCCCCGGCTGTGCCGCTGCTGCTTTGATTTGCTGCAGCAGCAGCAGCAGCAGCTGCTGCTGCGACTCTGTCGCTGCAGCAGCTCCAAGAAACAGCAGCAGCCTCGACAGCGCCTTTAAAGCAAATTCATTTTGGTCATTTGGGTAAGTCGAAAGACACATCTGGAGACGAGACAAAGACTGCAGCAAAAACGCAGCGCATGGAACTGCTGCTGCTGCTGCTGCTGCTGGAGTTGCAGCAGTTGCTGCTGCAGCAGCGGAGCAGCGAGGCGGCAGCGGCGCGCGCAGCAGCAGCCCAGCAGCAGCAGCTGACCTGCAGCAGCAGCGGCAGCTGCTGCTCCAAATCAATTAATCTTTTGGAATTAATTTTTGAAATTAAAATGCGATCAAAACAAAAGGCGGAATAAGCGCGCAGCAGCAAATTGGGGTGTATCAACAGCTCGGATACTGCAGCAAGCTGCGCGCGGACCAGCCTGAAGCAGCAAAAGGCATTTGAATTCTTTTTTGTTTATTTTAATTTCTTTTTAATTCATTTTTATTCATTTTTAATTTTAATTCATTAAATTGTTTTCAAGTGCACTTCTTTTAAATCCAAAATCACAGAAACCGCCAAAGACAAGTTCAAATGCGAAATGGCATAGCAGCAGAAAGGGAATAAATGCAAATCGAAGAAATATAAATTAAATTAAATTAAATAATCAATAAATAATCATAAATATAATTAAATAAATAAAAATAAATGATAAAAAGGAAGTCCTTTTCAAGAGCTGGGAGGTGGGAGTGTCAGCAGCAGAAGCAGCAACAGCAGCACCACTAACACCAGCAGCAGCAGATGTTAAGGTAGCAACAGCAGCAACTGCAGCAGCAGCAGATGCTGCTGCTGCTGCTGCAGCGGCTGGACCTACTCGGGCGGCAGCTGCCTCCTGAAGTACGCGAGAAACTTCAGTGCTGCTCCTACGGCGATGGGCGACCTTTGCTGCTGCTGCTGCTGCTGCTGCTGCTGCTGCTGCTGCTGCTGTTGCGGCTGCAGCTCTTTGGCTAGGTGGGCGTTGAAGAAGTTGGCAATATCTGCTGCTGTTGGCGCCGCTGCTGCTGCTGCTGCTGCTGCTGGGCTGCCCGCGATCTGTGGAGCCCCCGCTCCCGCTCCCACCGCCCCTGCTGCTGCTGCTGCTGCTGCTGCAGTTTGCCTGCTGGCAACTACAGTCATAAGGAAAGCAGCAGACTCGAGAAGTCTGCTGCCTCTTTCTGTCTGTCCCGCTGCTGCTGCTTCGGCCTGGGCGGCGAGCTGCTGCACGAGGCCGAGCAGCAGCTGCTGCAGCTGCTGCTGCAGCTGCTGCTGCTGCTGCTGCTGCTGCTGCCGCCCCAAGGCCTTCACCAAATCCGCCACGCTGCTGCGGCGAGGCAAATGAAGGCAAAAAGAAAATCCCTCCAGCTCTCTTCTCACGAAGTCCAGAGGAGACTCCAGCAGCAGCTCAAGATCTAAAAAAAAAGAATGAAGTGAATCAAACAATTTAAAGCAATTAAAAGCAATCAAAACAATTAAAATAATTAAAACAATTAAAATAATCAATAATTATTGCTTAAAAATCAGAAACGGCGAAAAAACGGAAAAGAAAGACAAGTTTGCTGCTGCTGGGGGCCCGACAGCAGCAGCAGCAAGCAGCAGCAGCAGCAGCAGCAAAAGCAGCGGATTCATACCTTTGTCTCTTAATGGCACATTTGGCAAAATAATGCTGCCAACTAATTCATTTAAAAAGGAAGGGTTTTGGAAAGGGTTTGGGGGCCCCTGCTGCAGCTGCTGCTGCAGCTGCTGCAACTGCTGCTGCTGCATTCCAAAAGTTGCTGCTGCTTCAGCAAACTGATCCGGCAGCCGCGCCCGCTCCCAGTTTGTTGCTGCTGCTGCTCCCAAACATTCTGCTGCTGCTGCTAGCAGCAAATCGAAGCGGGTCTGCGGCCCGAGAGACCTGACGCAGCACCAAACTAAGCAGCAGCAGCAGCAGCAGCAGCAGCAGCAGCAACGGGTGAGATATGGGGGAGCATTGTTAAAGCAGCAGCAGCTGCGACAGCTGCACAACTAGCAGCAACAGCAACACTACAACCCGAGGCAACGGCAGCAGCAGCAACCAGCGGCAAAAAGCAGCAGCAGCAGCACAGCAGCAGCAGCACAGCAACCTGCAGCAGCAGCACAGCAACCAGCACCACCACAGCAGCCCGCAGCGGACCCACCACCAGCAGCACCAACAACAGCAACAGCAGCAGCAGCAACAGCACCAACAACACCAGCAGCAACAGCAGCAGCAACAGCAGCAGCAATAGCAGCAGCAACAGCAGCAGCAGCAACAGCAGCAGCAACAGCAGCAGCAGCAGCAGACCTGCATGAACAGCAAGGGCCACGAAGGCCCGGATCTCCTCTTGGTACTTGTGGAAGTAAAGCCGCAGCATGTCGCAGATGACACTCTTCAAGACCAGAATGTCTTCTGCAGCAAATAAATAAATAAATAAATAAATAAATATAAATAAATAAATAAATAAATAAATAAATAAATAAATATAAATAAATAAAATAAATGAAGGGAGAGCTGTGGGGGGGAGAAGAATGTGCGGCGAGAGAGCGGCAGGCGCGCGTCCGCTGCAGCAGCAGCAGAACGCGATTTGCTGCTGCTGCTGCTGCTGCTGTGGGTGTTGCTGCTGTTGCTGCTGCTGCTGCGGGCGGTGGTGCTGCTTCTGCTGCTGCTGGCGTGTGGGGT